CCCCAGACAGCTTGTGGGCTCCCTGCTTATCACCTTCAGTTTGGACTCGGATATCACTTCTCAGTGAGGCTTTCCCTAGCCAGGCAATTTTATTATTTTATTTATTTATTTTTAAAGATTGTATTTATTTATTTGAAAGAGAGAGCATGAGACAGCACAAGCAGGGGGAGCCGTGACAGAGGGAGAAGCAGACTCCCCGCTGAGCAGGGAGCCCGATGTGAGACTCGATCCCAGGACCCTGGGATCATGACCTGAGCTGAAGGCAGATGCTTAACCCACTGAGCCACCCAGGCAACTTTAAATTGCACACCGTGCCAGCACCCTTTCCCTGGTCCAGCTTCATCTCTTCCTATGACACAGATCTCCACCTGCCATGCTATGTGTTATACGTCTATCCTTTATTACCTGTCCCCTTACACTAGTATGTAAGCTCTGGGAGCGCAAGGATTGTTGTCCCTTTTGTTCTCTGCTGTAATCTCACTACCTGGTATGTACAGAAGATGGACTCTGAGAAACAAACGGAGGGTTCTAGAGGGGAGGGGGTGGGGGGATGGGTGAGCCTGGTGATGGGTATTAAGGAGGGCATGTACTGACTGGAGCCCTGGGTGTTATACGCAAACCATGAATCATGGAACACTACATCAAAAACTAATGATGGAATGTATGGTGATTAACATAACATAATAAAAAAAAGATGCTCAAACAATATTTGTTGAATGAGTGAATACATTTTATGAGACCGATAGTTACCACGTACCAGATACTGTGGTAGGCGCTTGTAATCCCCTCATTCAGTTTTCACAGACTTTGAGGTAGGTAGCATTCTCTCTTTTAAAGAGATCTTTTAAAGAGATCTCATCTTTTAAAGATGAGGAAACCAAAGCTCAGAGAGGTTGGGTAGCTCCGCGGGAGCCGCATGCTATCACGCAGCAGAGAGTGGGACTGGAGTGCAGGTTCGTCTGCTCCAGGGGCCAGGAGCTTTCCATTTCAGCTCTCCTCTGTCCCCCTGGTTCAGGTAATGTGGCTGTCCCTCACCGTGTTCGACACCCAGTAGGGCTCCTGAATATTCTCAGGCTGAGGCTGTTGCTTCCCTTGCACGAATTCCCTCACTGCTGGGACCACAGAGCTGCTGCTTAGAGGTGTCTTTGCTCAAAAATGGGCTCCTCTCCCTTCTCTCTTTTTTTTTTTAAAGATTTATTTATTATTTATTTTGAGAGAGAGAGAGAGAGCACATGAGAGGAGGGAGGGGCTCCTCTCCCTTCTTGTAACAAAAGACCCATAACCCTACAACTGGAGAAGCCAACGTGCCCCTCTCCCTCATCACTGCCTCTACTCTCTAGCCTGCATGCTCTAGGTTATGGTATAAATGAGCAGGATGAGAGCTTTTCTTTCCTTCTCTCTCGGCCCCATTTTCCCAAAGGGAGGTTGGTTGCTCCCCTAAGAGCCTTCTGAAGACCGGAAGGGTGGAATGCCCATAGGAACCCAGAAGATTTAAGTTCAAGTTCTGTATCTGCCGCTCACTAGCTATGTCATGAGCTTGGGCAAGTCATTTAATGTATGCACTGACAGAATGGAAGGAATTCTTCTTTCCTGCTGGTTTCCCTATTGCACTGTAATATTGGCCAATGTAGGACCTGCCTCATGAGGCTGTTGTGCAGATGCGTGAGACAATGCAGTTGTCATACTTAGCACCATGGCTGACACATAAGGCTTAGTAAATGCTGGCTCTTATTGTTACCGGACATGCCTGGCTTGGGAACTGGGTGGGGTCTGCATTACATTCAGTCGGTAGAATGTGGTGTGGGGTGGGGATTGTTGCTGACCACTCCTTCAATCACCCATGAAACTTTTTCCTAGAGTTTCACACTTCCGAGTTTGGAATTCCTTGTTCAAAGTCACATAGTCATGACTTTTAAAAGGCCTTGATTAGGACACTTTTCAGAATACCTAACCTCCCTAGGCAGTACACTGTGTTTCTGCTGGGAGGTGATTGTTACCATCTCTGCTGGGCTGCACGGTTTGAGGAATAATTTGTACAAGCATCAGTTGCCATCATGACCAAGGCAAGGAGCATAATTATCTCAAGTGGGAACTGTGATTGAGCCTGTGAATTGAGGCCTGATTTACAGGGGCTATAAATGAGCTGCCTGCCACCTCTGGAGCATTATGTGCCTGCTCCATGCTGGGGCTGTAATCAACCTGAGCCTGTTTTCAAACACCCATTCTCCAAGTTCCAGTGGGTCCAAAGTCCGCACCCTGGTAAGCGTCAGGATCTCTGCAGAAGCTGTGGCTAAACTGAGAACTTCCCATTGGCCGTTGTCAAGAGAATTTCCTTTCCTGGCGTTGCTTCCTAGTTGTCGTGTAATAATAACAAGTACGGTTTGAAGTCATCCATCTGCCACCACTCTCCGAACAGCAATGCCCTGCTCTCCTCACCCGGTGTTTCACCCAACACACACTAGTTCTGCTTGTGCCTGAAGGAGGGCGAGAGAGGGGATCCAGGCCATTTTTCTCCGCCATGTGAATGACCATAAGCAACAGGAGGCGTTCATCATCTCTTGCCCTCGCCGTGGCCAGTGTCTGCTCTACACATGGGCCCAGAGGCCAGACTTTTAGTACTTCTGAGAAGCCGATGATGACATTTGTGACATGGGAGGTCTTTCATGCTGAGGCAAGGGTACGAGTTCTGGCAGCCCTTTGTGCCATGTGCAAACAACACTGGGAATCATATTCGCAGGCCCGCAAATGTTATTAGATTGTTCCATGGCATAGAAGTCTTAGTTTGAGGCTTAACGGAGAGAACAGACTAAAGTAGACTGAGGCAACATGGCCTCTAAAGGGCAAAACATGCTGAGTTTGAGCAAAGAGACACATTCTACACGTAGTCAGCACTCTGAGCACACTGGGGAGAGAGTAGGCAGAGCTGGAATCCGTTCGCAGAAAATTCTTCAACTTTGTTTTAGCTTCCTTTTTACCCCCCTGCAGGCCAGCGTCTTGTCATAATTAGCCTGGCTACACAATACTTGTTTGTATCTCCAGAGAGACGGCAGTGTTTAAAGAAAGAACGTGAGTCCAGAGACAGATGACCCAAGTCTGGAAGGACTCCCACAAAGAAGGAAATGTAAAATGGTGAAAAGTCAAGCTTTTGACTCAGATTTTAGTTCCAATCCTTCTTATACACTATCTGTGAGACCTTTCTGGCTTTTCTGACTCTCTTTGCTTAGTGCAAAATGGAACAGGTATGTACCCTGTAAAATTGTAATAAAAATCATCAAAAGATATGTAAAGCATAAAAAAGCTGGCTTCCCTTAGGTATTAAATAAATGGCAAGAATTACTGTCTTGAACATCTACAAAATGGAGGTGTTTAGTAATACCTACTTTGCAATGTGGTTGTGAAAAGCAGGGGTAGGAATGCCTTTGGCCTATAGTAGATGTTTAATAAATGGTACTGTTATTAGTCCTGTCTTTGCTAGGTGTTAACACATCCAAATTTCAGCAGAGTCACATCTGGTACAGGTAAAACGGGGTGGGGGGTGTATTTCTATGCTATTTCACTGCCATAAGGACTGCAATGGGAACTGAAGATAATTCTACAGGGCCTGCTTGTGTTTTGGAATTGTGATAACTGAAATCACACACAACATACTGGAAGCCAGGAATGGGGAACAATGTGCTAAAATGAAACACACTAGATTGAGGGGCCAGGGACTTGTGACCTTAGGCAAATCATCAAGTAATCTGACCCTCAGGTGCACACACTGCTGGTGAGAAAATACAAATGCGAGAAATATCACTGTTATTGTTCTTTGCAGGTAAAGCCAGTCTTCCCACGTTAATCTTTGGAACCCAGCAAAGTCCTTGGCATATAGTGAACACTCAGTATTTGTTTGTTTAATGAACTATGAACTGCCCAGAAGTCATCTTTTCATTCATTGGTGAATGTTTTTGCCCATAAGCTTATAGTTTCGATCTCAGTCTAGTTTGCTGGATCCCTGGGCCTGTGTCCCAAAGTATTTATTTGTATTCCACACCAACCTTAACATAGTCAGAAATGTTATTTGAACACAGCTGAAAGCAGGAAAAAACTGGCAGTAAAGTGTAGAAAAGCGGCTCTTCCGTATATGGCAGCTGCGGGGTTGGGGGTAGCTTCACAGTCCCCTCTACACCCATCTCTGGTTTGGTTACCACTTTCCCTATTATTCTCTGTATCTTTTCCATAGGATGTATCCCCAGAGTGAAAGTGGCAGGCATTGCAGAGGCCTGAGCAGCTCATGTGGATGATCCTTCATGGCTAGTTAAGAATGTGAGCAATGCCTTACTAGTCTCCTCCAAATGGGAGGTGGCAGGTGGAAAACAGCACGTAGAAACAGGGATGAGGGCCCTAGGCTGCCTAGTGCCAGGGGAGAAATCTTGAAGTGGAACTTCTTGATAGTAGGGGACATCACATGTACCCTCCACCCACAGGACACACCGCATCACATGTACCCTCCACCCACAGGACACACCGTTCCTGAATTGTTACAGTATTTGGTTTGTGACAGCTTTGATAGAGAGCTGTTGAGAGAACGGAGATGGAGGGGACCACAACACTAACAGTCACCATCACTATGCACTGAAATGAGTTGTTCTGGAAAAAGAGCCCTGGCAAAGGTAGGGTGTTTTCCAGCTCCATCATGAATCGAGTCTTCTTCCCATGTTATTGAGGGCACCCGTGCCCTTCAGTTATTCCCAATACCATCTCCCACCCCTAACTTCTGCTTTTCCTTTCCCTCCCCTCCACATGCCCCATCCTTCCCCCTCAACCCCCAAAGTCCGACTGAAGGTAATTTCAGGCAAGCCTCACCCAATCAGCCCAGCTGGGTTAGGGGTCCCTCTGCAGCCTTCAACTCACTGTTCTGTAATTTCTGGTTTATTTTCTTAATCTCCAGTTCCAAAATGTAGGACCTTTATCTTGTTCAGCATTCTATCCCCAAATGCCCCAAACACCACACAAAAGAAGATGCTCAGCAAATGTTTAATTTATTAAGTGTACCAGGGTATAGTTCTAATTTACTGTATTTTCATTTTTCTCTAGATACTATAATAGCTAACAAATAGAGGTACAGGTCAGTCTTTTTCTTTATACAATATAGACAAAAAGCACTGGGAAGCTAGCCACCAATCAGCTATTTGTTTTCGTGGTACCAGATGATCACACTGCTGAGTTCCTTGAAACCATTAATGTACGGCATTACAATGCTGCGTCATTTGTTCAAGATCACAAAACAAAATGTAAAGTTTTCCATCCATTTTACAAAACCTGCCAAACCACAACAAAATCCTACAGGAAAAAGTAGACCAATCTCATTTATAAATATCAATTTAACAGTATGTAAAATGTAACAAAACACAGCAAGATACAAAACCTAAATCCTAGTTACACAAATACAACTTCTAATTAACGACCTACCCCCAACGATACTACTTATGACTCCGACAGTAGCTTTTTCATAACCACGAGGACCCCGCTGGCCACCTTTCCACCAGCCCTCACCAGGGGCAGATACCAGCCCTATCACTGGCCCTGGCCCTGGCCCTGGCCCTAGCCCTAGCTCTCATACTGGCCTCAGCTCTGGCCTTGGCTCTGGCCCTGTCAGCCTCATCTGCCAGGGCCTCACGGTACTGCACTGGCCAGTGCTGGGGTTCTTTCTTATGGAGTTTGGCCACGAACCCCAGGACTTTCATCTTGCTGATTTCCAGGTTGCTCCGGGGACCCCAAGAGAATTCACATTCCGGCGGATTGGTGTGAGGCACCTGCCTGTAACTGAGGTATCGCTGCTGCACAAAATCTTCCATAATAAGCCTCTTCGGGTACCCGAAGAGGAAGTGATACTTTGAGGGGCGTACCCCCAAACGACGTAGCATCTCCCAGACCTGTGTCTCCCTGGCACTATTACCTTTCATGTAGATAAGGCCCAAGATCATTATTAAGAGACCCAATCTGGGGCCATCTCCTCCCAGATCCTCCTCCTCCTCCTCCTCCTCCTCCTCCTCCTCAAGAGGTTTTAGTTTGTTGATCAGGATGTAAGTGTGGTGCTTGCGGCCAAACCGTTTCAGCTCGAAACCAAAGACATACCGCAGATGCTCTGCGGCCCTTGCGATGATCTCAGGGAACAGATCCTTCAAGTCTCCGATTACGTATTTCACCATCTCGGAGCGAGTGATGGGACTCTTCTTCTTGTCCTTCACCAGCAGGAACTGCACCAGCTCGGCCACCGTCCGATCCAGACGGCGGTAGGCCCTGCGCCGGGCCAAGGCTCTGGCTGCCAAGGTCCTTGCGCCTTTTGGGGTGAGGGCGGAGTCCTCAGCCCCCTCCTCCCTCCGGGCGCTAAGATCCTCCTTGGGGGTCTCTCGCAGGAGGGGGCTCGGGATCTCTTTCTGAGAAGCGGTCAGGGCCTGAGTCTCACCGTCACGGCCGCCATCCTTCTCCCTCTCGGCCTGAGGGATGGGGAGAGCCCCGTTCTCGGGTTTCAGCAACATGTTTCGGGCAGGCAGGTGCAGAGCGCGTACACGGGCCAAGAGGTGTGCAAGCCGCTGCGCAAACCCCGGCGGAGGGGGGAGACAGAGCCTGGGGCAGCGGGAGGAGGAAAAGGAGAGAGGTCAGAGGGGGCTTTCGGGATGCTGGGCTGCACTGCAGAAGTCTCGGGACCCTTGCCGCAACGCCTCCGGCGCCGAAGATTTGCGCGCCGCCCCGGCGCAGCCTCAGTGTGCGCCCGCGCGCCGGTTCGCCGGGCCACTTCCGGCCAGCTCAGCCAAGATGGTGGCCCCGGGGCCGCGCCAAGCCCCGCCCCTTCCGGCTCCCTACGGGTTTGGGTTTGCACGCCCGGGCGGTGGGAGGTGTGCCTTCAGCGCTGCCTTTTAGGCTCCAGAGTTGGGGGAAGGTAATCAGGGCTTTCTCGTCCAGGGCATGCAGAATGGGAAATGTTTCCATGGACAACGTTGAAATAGGGTTGGCGTTCTAGCCACGTCTTTTCAGCAAGTGCTTATTTTAAGTGTGTGTATCTAGGATTTTGAGTGATTTTACTGGCCCGAGTGCAGAGTGCAGGGAGGTGAAGGCTGGGAGATAGGGCTGTGAGGGCCAATCAGGGAAGAACTTTGCACAGGATACTAGGGAGATTGGAATTTATTCTAAACATGATGGGAAACTACTACTGGGAGTTTAAGCAAGGGAGTGTCCGGACCGGATCTCTCTCTTTACAGTCTCTCTGGTGGCAGTGTGAAGGATGGTTTGGAAGTAGGGACGACCAGAAGCTAGGAATCGATTTTGGAGTCTTTTTATAGTGCAGAATAGGAACTGAGACTTGGTTTGTCTTGTTCATTGGTGTATCCCCAGCGCCTAGAACAGTGCCTGGCACCTACAGGCTCTCCATAAATATTGTAAAATGTAGGATGAGGGGGCAAGGATAGCAGATTCTACAGGGGTGAAAGGAAAATACAGCTGGCAGAAATATTGGCCGATTGGAGGAAAGGGGAGATTCTTTGACCTAATCAAACTTAACTACTTCCATTACTTTTTATCTTTTTGCATACCCCCAGTTCTTTCCTCTCTCCTCACTTTCCCTCCCACCCTCCTTTTTCCTCCCTCCCTCCCTCCCTCCTTCCCTTCCTTTCTTCCTCCCTCCCTCCCTCCCTCCCTCCTTCCCTTCCTTCCTTCCTTCCTCCCTCCCTCCCTCCCTCCCTCTCGCTCTCTTATTTCAGGGCTTAGCTTAAATGTCACCCGTTCCAAAGCCTTAATCTCCATGCATGGAAGTTATTTACTGCTATCTCTGAATCACCATAGCAATTTACATTTATTTAGCATTCACTTATATAAACCTTATTATATCCTAGGCTCTGTTCTAACCACTTTTCGAATATTAGTTTGTTTAATTCTCATTGAGGTACTGTTATCATCATCCCCATTTTATAGATCTGTCTTTCCTATGGCATTTGCTATTTGCTAGCTATGTAATCTTGGGCAAGTTACCTAAGTTCCCTGCCCCTCAGTTACCTTATCAGTAAAATGGATATAATAGCAGTAACAACATTATGGAGATTATGTGAAGTAATGCATATAAAGTATTTAACGCAGTGCTCAGCACATATTGAGTGTTCAATAAATGTTAGCTATTATTTATTGCATATTTTTAATGTGCTGATACTGTGCTAAGTGTTTACATGTATTAACTCATCTAGTCATAACAGCCCTGCTAGATAAGTGGTATTATTATTCCCATCTTATAAGTGAAGTAACACAGAAAGAGGTTAAGTAACTTCCTCAACATCACGACTGAGATTTGAACCATATAGTATGACTCAAAAGACAATGCTCTTAACCACGATATTAATAGATGTTAATTATTATTATTGACCATACTCTGCTTTGTATTATAATTATTTTTGTGCTTATCTTATTACCCTCCAAAACCAAACATCCTAAAAGCTAAGGCTATGTCTTTAACTCTTGAAGAACCCCTCAGAGTCAGCACTCAGTATATAATTGTCACTGAATAAATGACGAAAGGTTTTTTTTTGACAGGAAATAACATTTAAGTAAATATCTGACAGTCAGATTCTTCTAGATGTAATCATGAGCTCTTCACTTTAAAAACCTCTGAAAATGTATACTCATAGTATCTGACTTAGAAAAACTGCAAGTGTGTGAATGAAGCAGAAGGATGTTTATTACGGTCTAGCTTGAGGCTGTTACTAGTTTTCATTGTGCCAAACATTCTGTGTACAATATAATTTCATCCTCACAAATCCCTATGAAGAAGGTATTTTTACCCTCATTTTACCAATGGGAAAACAGTCACAGAAATCACCTGTCTCAAACCAATCATCTGTTAAGAGCTGGACCGGAGACGAGAACCTAGAGCTCTCTCTTCTGAAGACTGTACTCATGACTGTCTTCACGTACTCATGCTGGACTGCCTGGTTATCTGTTTCTCCTGAAGGTAGAGAGAACCACTCCTACCTAGAAGGACTGCGCTAGAGATAAAAGAGTTCATTTACGTATTCTCTCAATCCAAGCATTGCCAAGAAGATATGTAGGAGATAGATGCATGGGAATGAGCATATAGGAGATACACTGAATGGAAAGAATTTTGAGGGAAAAATTTGCAGTAATATGACTGGATTTTAGAAACTGAATGAATAATGTAATAGTACACATCAAAAAAAAAAGGAACTACTGATACAACATGGATGAGTCTGGCGGACATTATGTTGAGTGAAAGAAGAAAGATACAAAAGATTACATACAATAGGATTCCATTTACTTGGATGTTCAAGACAGGTTAAACTAATTTATGGTGATAGAAATTAGAACAGTGGCGGTCTGGAGTAGGGTTGACTGGAAAGGGGTATGCAGGAACTTTCTGGGAGTGATGGAAATGTTCTGTGTCTTGATTTGGGTGTAGGTATTTGTCAGAACGTGTCAAACTGTACCCTTAATATCTATGCATCTCACAATATGTAAATTATACCTCAAAATTATTTTAAAATTAAAATACTAAATGAAAAAGCCTTTGGGTATAAGAGGTGGGGGGGCGGCATAAAAGGTGAATGGCTTTGTTTTTACCATTTGCCAATCCCTGGATGCTACAGTGTTCTACCGGAAGGGACCTAGACAATCATTTTTACCGTTCTGATCGTGCCTACCTTATACAGGACCAGCAGACTTTGTAAACAACCCTTACGTAAGCTATTAGAAGGGAGGCAATGCATACCTCTTTGTCTGGGGAGCGAAGCAGCAAAACAAACACTTTGATAACTATTGCTTGAAACCTTCCTGAGGGTGGATCTTTCTTTGAAAGCCCACAGTGCTTAGCCCCTTTTAGTCTGCAGAAAGGGATAAGGGAATTACACTGGAAAGGCAGAATTGCGGGATGAATTATCCTGGAAATGTCCAGCTCTTTGTGGGTGTAGAAGAGGTGTGTCCCAGAACAAAGCCTGAACTAGGTCAGAAGTCCTGAGCGCTGGTGTCCCTCCTCACCCACTCATTTGGTGACCTTGCCCAGGACACTCAACCTCTTTGGGCTACTGTTTCCTCATCTGTAGGCCTCCTTGCCTGGCCTGTCCCCACAGAATTATTTTGAGAAAGATTATAAATGCAAACATACTTTTAAAGTGCTCTACATTAAGAAATACAAAATGTTACAGACTTTTTTTTTTTTTTTAAAGGATAAGTGGTAGAAAAATCTCAGTAATGAGTGTGACTCGTCTCTCATGCAGACGTTTTGGAACGAGTTTACACATTCCTGGTTGAAAAAACCGTCTGGCCAAAAAAGATTAAATAAAGAAATGTCAAGTCCTGACACTCCTTCTAAGGCCAGTGAACGCTTTGGTGGGGAGCCAGGGTTATCTTGTTGGATTCCTTCTAAACTTGGCAATAGAGTCCTCCAAACTCTTGAGTGCCTTCTTCACAGAGATGCTGAGTAACATGTCACCCCAGATTTGAGTGAGTCCCAGTCTGCACAGGTGCTTGTGCCCTTGCTATTTCTTCCGACAGTTTTGACAGCCATGCAAGCTGATCCGGCTCAAAGAAGGGATCAGAGGAAGAGCTTTGTCCCGTATTCCTGGGCCAGGCGGGGGTGGGGGTGTGTGGGGGGGTGGGGGTGGGGGGGTGGAAGGAGCTCAAGCTCAATTCTGTTAACAGCGGAATGGGCAGAGCGTGAAGCCGTGGGTCCTGGAGGAGCGGCTGGGATTGAGGCAGGATGGCTGGGCGGATGATTCGACCTGACTTGGGTAATGAAAATTGTTTGTTACTGTTTGAAGAGCAATTGTGTAAGCAACAGTGCTTCTGTGTTAGGCTGCCTGTGACCCACCAGTATCTGTAACCTAACACCCAGTGCAGAGGAGGAGCAGAGCCTGGCCAGCGGGGGAGGGGAGAGATGGGGGAGGAGGATGGCGTGCACAGGGCCCCCTTCTCCCTCCTCCACCGTCCCACCCCCTCTCTAAACCTCGAAGGAGAGTTGGCGAGAAGGCATTTGCCACCTGGACACAATGAGACCCAGTGCGAGGGGCAGGCGTGAGGCTGGCTGCGAGCCAGGGCCCTAGTCTGAATGGCCGTCGCCAAGGGGCTGCCAACAGCCCATCTCTATCCCTGAGGGGCCAGGCCAGGACCCAGGCGGGGGCCCTCAACATCCAGCCCCGAGGCCCAACTCACACCATTCGCTGGCCGTGATCAGAATGCGTGGGACCCACGGGCTTTGAGCAGCTGAACAGAGCCGTTTCCCCTCTGCGGGCCGCCGGTTCGTTTGGATTAGAGCAGGCTCTCCGGAGTCCCTTTGTTGGCTGCTTGTTATTCCGCACGCACGGAGCACTGTGCATTCATCTTTATTAGTTCTAATTGCTTCCCTATTCTAATGGGATCTTGATATTCCCATACAATTGAAAGGAAACGTATTCATTAAAATAATTCTTCTCCTAACTGCCGCTTCAAGCTGCTCTTCTAAGTGACATTGTCTCTCTAGCTGTCGCCTGCTGAGGCCTCTTATTAAGACTCTAGTCAAAAGCCAACTTTGGGCAGCAAACTTTCCTTGCAGGAGTTTCCAGACACTGAAGAGAGGGCGCTTTTTAATCGGCTCACACACTGAAGTTGGAGGCCAGCTGGTATAATTGGGGGTGCTGCTCCGGGGGGCTAGGGGGAAGAAGGGCTGGCCTCCAGCTCTGCCTCCTCTAACAATGACCCCTTTCTGCACACCAACCGGCTAATTTCGAGGGCTCCCCCCCCCCCGTGCCCCCAT